CAACATGTCCAAAGTATGTCAGACGAAGCCCCAGAATCCTTGCCTCCAAGGGGTAGCTTGGTTTAATCCTCTCCAAGATGAATCTGTTTGTTTTCCTGGCAGTCCAGGGTACATTCAGTACCCTTCTCCAGCACCACAGCTCAAAGGCATTTGAAGATGGCACAGGATAGGACAGGGTTTAGGTTTGTTGTTTATAGGGTTGCCTTGAGTCATAATTGACTCCATGGCACCGAATGACACAATGTATTAAAATTTCCTTTTTATGTTCCTTTTGTTTTGTGGGTGATTTGTGATTTAGGAGAGAACCCTACGTGATACAGGTTAGAACTGTTCTGTAGTGTTTTCTTAGTTGTAGTTTCGACTGAAACAGATTTCCAGATTGTTTCTCCTCTGGAACTGCTAGGTGGGTTTGAACTATTAACCTTTTGGTTAGTTTGGAAGAGCCTCCTGAGAGATCCTAATGCATCCTGGGATTCTAGTCAGAATTAGGCTCGTGGAAACGAGTTCATTTAGTTGTGTGTTTAGAAAATTCTTGTGTTTATTCCTTATTAGCTAGCATCAGCAACTGTCCTACTTCCAGACATTCTGTTAAGGAAGCTTCTAACAGAAATGTTTGGAAAGGTCAGCACAAAACCCCTTGCTGTACAACGCAGTCATACACCTGCCTGTGCCCACAGCCTCTCAATTATGTTCTAAGTATTTCTATATTCATAATTCTGAAAATTAATTTGAGTGGAAACAAAATGTTCAAAACGATTACCGAATCAAGTGATTTTGTTTGGTTCAAGGCCCTGGAAAAAAACAATCACACAAGTATTTCAAGAGAACTGTTTGTTCTAGTTTGGTTTCAGGATTCATTTGGTGTTTTTAGTACTTTCTGGTGAGGTCCAAGAGGTGTTCTCACATCAATACGGAGGGTAACTCCAGCATCTGCATAGGTTTTGGTAGCTATGATAGTTTGAGGAGGACATTCTTGATGGCAGTCTCTATGAGCACCCGCTTCACAGAGGTGCTCAGGACACTTAACCTGGGGGCTGGCCAGGAGACCATGCCAGGGCCAAGAGTTCTACTCCTGCCTCGTTAATAAAAGGATGATGGCTTCATGTCAAAGATGGGAGTACAAAAGAAAAAAAGAAAGAAGATTGTTGTTGTGACGGTGTACTGTAGAGTTGGAAATAACCCTCTGGCAGGTTTTCAGAGGCAGTTAATCACATGGAAGGAAACTGCCCATCTTTCTCCCACAGAGCAGTTGGTGGCCTTGAACCATGTGCTTTCGAGTTTGCAGTATAGCTTCTTACCAGTAGGCCACCAGAGCTCCATAGGAAAAAAAAATATAAAGTTAGTTATGTAATTTGGCTGTTATTTTTCAATTATGGGTTATCAATTATGGGTTTAACTGCCATTACAACATTTGAAAGGCAGACATGGGGGAAGATCACTTATTAATCCTCAAGCAAGATCTCTGGTATCTTAGTTATCTAATACTGCTATAACAGAGATACCACAAGCAAAAATCTTATCTCTAATAGTTTAGGAAAATAATTGTTGTTAGGAGCTGTAGAGTCAAGTATGACCCATAGTGATTCTCTGAACAACAGACCTGAACCAGTCTCATCATCTGTGACATACTTGAGCCCATTGCTACAGTCACTGTGTCAGTCCATCTCATTGGGGGTCTTTTTCTCCTTTGTTGACCCTTCACCTTTCCAAAGAATAGTCTTTTCTAGAAGCATGTCCAAAGTATGAGAGACAGAGCTTCACCATCTTTTCCTCCGAGGAGCACTCTGGCTGTACTTTTTCCAAGACATATCTGTTTGTTCTTTTGGCAGCCCATGGTATATTCAGTCCTCCTCTCCACCACAACTAGAAGTCCAAATTTAGGGTGCCAGCTTCAGAGACAGAGCATTCTCTCTTTGTCAGCACTGGGGAATGTCCCTGTCTCTTTTCACTCTTAGGGCCCAGCATGTCTTGGTATGAGTCTCCTCCTAGGTCTAGGAGGGTCTCAGTCCAGGTACCCAAGGTATAAGAAACACACGTCACTCCAGGCTTTTCTTTCTTGGTAGTGTGGTTCCTTCTTTCTTTATTCACTTCTTTTTCCTTTTATTTGACTCAAGTAAAGATAAGACTTGCATAAGAATATGACTTAAAAAGCAGGTGAAAATTACACAATACTGGAAATCATGGCCCAGTTAACAGCTATTTTAGGGTTCACAGTTCAGTTCACAATAGTAACATAGAGTAAGAAACCATTTTCTCTCCTGAACATATGTCTCTCTCTCTCAGGAAAAGTGTGAATTCTGTTTTCTACCTTACACCTGTTCCCTATTTATAGCTCAAACTGATGTTACTTCATCCTATCCTTTCTCTGCAACAGCTTTCTGAATGTTCCCTCTACGTCTGCTCTTGCCTTCTCCGTGTTCCGTTTCCTTATCCATTTCACACAACTATCTGAGAATTTTACTCTACTATGTAAAATAGTTTAGCAGCTTACCACCACCTTCAAGACAAATTTCAAACTCCTGCCGACATGAAAATCCTTCGTGGTCCCACTTGGGTGTACATTCCCCACCTCCTCCAGCATTGCACTCAGTGCACGCCTCACACGCATTGCCACAGCCTGGTACACAGTCCTTTCTTACATTCCAGCATTGCCCATGCTCCTTCTCTGCCCCGCATTCCCTCTCCTACCTCTTCTACTTTGTTTAGCCCTGTTCATGGTCCCTCTACACTCAGCTGGTAGAATGAGCTGGTTTTCCTGACATGTTCTACCAGACTGAGCCACCCTGGTCCTCGTGGCCCCTTCTCTGCATTTGCCTAATGGCCACGGCATCTCTGTCATTACTGGGATCACAAAGTATGGTGGTGGGTGATTTTACTTCACTCCCTCATGAACGAGCCAGAGGACTCCCAAAGGTCTGTTTTTCTCTTGACTGTGGAGTGGAAGGCACTGGGTCATTTTCATGCTCTTGGCCTTTGATTAATTTTTATGTTCTTGATTTCTCATTACTTTCCCTTAGGTAGGTAATACCTAAGGGGAATGTGTATGTTTTTCAAAAGCATCACACACACACACACACACACACACATACACACTTCCTTACGTACACTGTTGTTCCGAGATAAATTAAGAGAAAAGCACCTCCAGTTTCAAAACTAAAAACCCAAACCCATTGCTGTGGAGTTGATTCTGACCCAGCGACCATGGAGGACAGGGTGGCACTGCCCCCTCGGGTGCTAAGGCTATAGATGTTTGTGGAAGCTGAATGCTACATCTCTCTCCCATACAACAGCTGACTTTTAGTGAGCAGCCGGGCTGCTGTGTCCCCAGGGCTCCTGTGAACTGCATTAAACACCTTTTACTCATTGTTTGCTCTGAGAGTTAGTACTCCACGCCCGCCATTAGACTATACAGGAATTTGTTGTGGTTTGGTGCCATTGAGTCTGTCTCATAATGATCCTGTGAACAACAGACCTGAACTTTGTCCTATCCTGTGCCATCCTCATCATCTCTGACACACATGAGGCCATTTGTTATTATGTGGTGGTGGTGGTGTTGTTGTTATGTGCTGTCAAGTCAACTACAACTACTAGTGACCCTATGAACAAACATCAGCTCTGAACTCTGCTCTATCATGAGCCAATTTCACTATCTCCAACACTCCTCCTGCCCATATTCTTCCAGTTACTGTGTTAATCTATCTCTTCCGGTGTCTTCCCCTCCTGCGCTGACCCTCCACTCTTCCAAGCATGATGTCCTTCTCCAAGGTCTGGTCCCTGCTGGCAGCATGCCCAAAGTGTGTGAGATGGAGCTTCAAAAAGTACCTATGCACCCATTTAGAATCAGATAAAGTCACTCTTTTTTTGTAGGCTTTTTTGTTGCCACACACACACAAATATGTAATACAGTATTTGCCAGTTCAGCATTTTCCAGTTGTATAACTTAGTGATAACAATGACATTGATCATGCTTTGCAACCATTATTTAGAATCATTGCCAAGTTTCCCAGCACCTTGAACAGAAATTGATTTTCTAAATAATAGCACTACTTTCCTTGGCCTTCTGACCTCAGTAGCTACTGATAAACTTTGGTTTCTATATATTTGCCTGACATACTTTGGACATGTTGTAGAGAGGGATGTTATGCTTGGGAAGGTGGAGGGACAGCGCAAGAGAGGAAGTCCCTCGATGAGATCGATTGATTCTGTCACTGGGGTCATGGGGGTAGGTGTGTCGGAGACAGTAAGATTGGCACAGGATAGAGCAGGGTTTATGACTGTTGTACATAGGGTTGCTATGAGTCACAGGTGACTCGACGGCACCTAACAACAACACAACTAAAATAAGTGATACATCTAAGTGAGACAGTATTTGTCCTTTTGTAATATATTTCGTTCACTCCGAAGGGTTTTCAAGGGTCTTCACGTGACAGTAAGTATCAAGACTTCCTTTCTCTTTATGGCTGAATAGTATTCAATTCGGAAGCTCTGCAGGGCTTTGCACTGCTAATCCAAATGCTGTGCCTCTCTGGAGGTTTGAATCCACCAGTGGCTCCATGGGAGAAAGGTAGACAGTCTCCTCCCATGCGATTTATAGCCTGCTCAAAACCTACTAAAGGGTCAGCTATGAGTCACTTCTGACTTGAAAGCAATGAGTAGTCAATTATATGTATATACAGTATTTTGTATTAACTGTTCATATCTTGAGAGCTCTGGTGGCCTAGTGGCAAGACACTGTACTACAATCCTAAAGGCACATGGTTTGAATCTGTCAGCTGCTCCATGTGAGAAGGATGGGCAGTCTCCTCCCATATAATTTACTGCCCCTGAAAATCCACCGGAGGGTCAGCTATGGGTTAGTTCCGACCCAACAGCACACAACAGTGACGTTCATCTCTTGATGGACATTTTCTTTGTTTGCACCTTTTGGCTGTTGTGAGTGTGGCTACAGTGACCACTGGTGGACAAGTAGAGCACTCACTCTTGTGGCTTGGGTTCTACAGGACTTGTCTTACAAGGACCGGCACTGGCATGAGACCTGTTTCCACTGCTCACAATGCAAGAACTCGCTGGTGGACAAGCCCTTTGCCGCCAAGGAGGACCAGCTGCTCTGTACAGAGTGCTACTCCAATGAGTACTCTTCCAAGTGCCATGAGTGCAAGAAGAACATCATGCCAGGTCAGAACATGCACCTTTCCCATTCGTGGTACCATCAAGGGACACCCAGCATTTTGCCTAGATGGGACAGTAAACTGATCCACTGTTTGTTCTAGACACTCATACTGATTTCCCATTTGTCTCTTGAATCACAGAGAATTGTACCGAGTGCTTTAAGTGGCAGCAGTAGGGATGATGGGCTAGCTCATCAGAGGGACTGTATCTTTATGCACTGCCTCTGGATGTGGGTGGGTGAGGGTGTGTTATACAGCAGAATCATTATAGCAAGTACTTGCTGCGCATTCCTCCTAAAATACATCGCCCTCTCCATCTCCCCAGAAGTTTCTTCTCTTCTATTTATATTCTCTCCATGATTTCAGCAAATGGGCATGATGCCTTCCTATGTGCTAACCACTATGCTAAGGAGTTGGACATTGAAAAAGTAGGAAGCCAGGAGAGGTACGTGTGGCCCTCTTCCTTCATGGAGGATACATTCTACTTAGGCATAAACCAAAAGACACTGGGCCAGGTGCTGAGGATATAATAATTTCTTTATTAAGGGAGGAGAGTGAAAGTAGAACTTTGTCTTTGGTTTGGGGAAATTGTATTGTTTTGTTAGAGAAGGGAATCGTTTAGGACCAGAATAATAGCTTTATAACCTTAACTAATAAACTCAAATCTCGACTACTAGCAATTTAAAAACTATAGCAAGAGGAGGATAACCCACTATGGCAAACAGGAAGTTATCAAGTTTTAGTTCTGAACTTTGCAACTGGCCAAAGCAAATTTCCTTTGTTTGAAAGCCATTTGTTGTTTGTCTCTCTAATTTTGCAGTATCTCTCTGAATGGTATTTTCATCTCAATGTGCAATTTTGCATTGTGTTTATATGAAATCTATACATCTGTGGCAGTGGATTTACATGCGTCAGGGATGATAAGGAGGTGCATAAAGAACAGAGACCAGTCTGTTTTTCATGGGTTACTATGAATTGTACTCGGCTCTGTGACACAACTGCTATAGGTTTTCTCCATGCTGGAGTATCTGATCTCATTCCCAAACTTCTCGACAGTCTCAGTTCTCAGAAAGGAAGTCAAAATCAACAGTTTTTTAAATTCCAGCTTTCTTATTCTGTGGTCCTGATTTTTCACTGGTCTGAAAGGATTGGTGTTTGGTTTGTTTGGACTTTTAAAAGGTTTTTTTATAATCTCTTATTGAGATTACATTTCAGTTCTGACAAGGTAGGAAGAAAAAAACCTGAAGTCACCAAGGTTATTCTATTCTGATAGTGATTCATTGAGATTATTTAAACATCAGTCGAGAGACTGGCACAGATATAAACTGCCATACAAAACAGTCACAACTCCTCGATTTTTAAATTTTTCACCTGACTTGACCTTCCATTTCATATAGTGTTTACCGGAGAGAGAGAAGAGAAAAAAAAATCTGTCCTCAGAGGAGATAAATTATTCTGAAGATTTGATAATTTCTTGGTCTTCAGTCTCTTCTACTGGGCAGTAATGGAATCTGAAATACATGTACAATTTAGACACCTTAGTAGAAAATGTCATGTGATAGGAAACATAGAGCACAACTTGATGTTGCAACTCAACATCAAGAAAACAAAAATCCTCACCACTGGACCAAAAGCAACATCATAATAGATGGAGAAAAGATGGAATGTGTCAATGATTTAATCTTGCTTTGATCCACAATCAGTACCCTTGACATCAGCAGTCAGATCAGGAGCTGTATTTGCATAGGAAACGTCCGCTGTCAGGGACCTCTCCAAGCAACACAAGACCAATAATGTCAGTTTAAGGGCCCAGGTGCACCGGATTCTGGCCATGGTCTTTTCAGTCACTTGCTGTGCATCTAAGAACTGGACGATGTATAAGGATGTCAGAAGAATTGATGCCTTTGAGTTGTGATGTTGAAGAAGAGCACTGGATATCCCATGCGCTGGGAGAAGAACAGATAGATCTTCTCCAAGATACGCCTTGGAGAAGGTGCTAGAGTGCTCCTTGGAGGCAAGGATGCCAAAGCTTCATTTCACATACTTTGGGCATGTTACTAGAAGAAGCTATTCCTTGGTAAATTACATCCTGTTTGCAAAGGTGGAGGGGGGTCAGCAAAGGAGAGGGAGATGCTGAGCGAAATGCATCGACACAGTGACAGCAACAATGCACCTGAGTGTGTCAGAGATGACAGAGACGGCACAGGATGGGGTTCAGGTTTATTATTCATAAGGTCACTATGAGCCGTACTCAACTTGACGGCCCCTCACAACAACATAGCACAAACATTCCCATCACAAAGCAGATGTGGTGCACCGGTACTACCGCTCTTCATGCCTTCAAGTCAGAACTGACCCATGGTGGACTCTCCATTGGCCTTCTTAGACTGTCAGTCACACGGTGTTGTCCCATTTGTGTCCCATGAAGAAAGTCTGTGGATTGGAACTGCCAGAGAAGGGCGGCATTTTGGTTTGCAACTCCCTGTGGACAGCCCCACCAGAGCGCTAATGTACGCTTCCACAGTATCTCCACGAGACGAACAGTTTCAGTCCCCCTATGACACGTGCCAGAACTGAACCTGAGATAGGCTTTCAGGTGGGAGGTAACTACTCCCTGCACCAACTCCCTGTGGAGAACACGGAGTGAGAGCCCAGAAGGTTGTGGGGCCAGTTCACTAAGCCTTGGAGCTTTCAAGAGATGTACATTTCCTTGGGTTTTTTCCCTCCAGTGGAAGAAGTTCCAATGAGTATTGTCTGTGATTTTGGACAAGACTGTAATTTGGGTGAACACTTTAATTCATCAGGAGTTTGCTGAGTCCCTGTTTGTGTCATGGTCCCTGTGGAATGTGGGCAACACAGCAAGGGCACAGCTCCCACTGAGCTTTCACTGGGTGGAGAAATCAGTGCTATGGAAATTATACAGTAGAATGAGGTGGTAGAGAGAACAGAGGGACTGCATTAGATTTTGCAAGGTCAAGGGCAGCCTTGATTAAAATCTGAGTGATAGAAGGTGTCATCTAAGTGACTGGGGCAGGGCCCACCTTTTACCTGGAAGGCTCCCCTTAAATGAACACGGTGCCTTGCCAGGCCTGAGCCTGAGTGGAGGCTCAGGATAAAACACGCCCAGACCCCGCCCTCCAAGAGCTGAGTCCTTGGAGCCAAACGGCCAATAAAACGGCAATGCCATGCTTTTGCTTCTCTAATAACTTGACAGTTGCCCAGGGTGTGTGAAGGACAAGGTACACTTCTCCCAGAGCAACAGCTTTATCACAAGAGGTGGGAGAGAAATAATTTACATTTCAGCTGAAAGCAAACTTAAATTTATCTTCAAGCAGAATATGAAGTTTTCCTCAATTTTGAGACTTTTGAAAACATTTCATGGTTCTGGGAGCTGAGGTGAGAGGCGTTTTCCTAACCATAGTCCCTTTTCCTCCTTTTCTCAGTAATAGGCATTCACTCTCTTTTGCTATTAAGAGTTTTAGGTAAAACCTAAAAGTTGTTTTATTGGGAAGGCGGGTACCGCTATAATGAGGGCATGTGCCAAGAGCACAGAAACAAGCCAGAAGTTAGGAAAGGGATCTTAGTAGGCGTCACACTGGAGTAGTCCTAAAGAATGAGGTGGATTTTAACCCAGTCACTGCATCCCTGGCATCTAGGAAACCTGAGGGACAGTTCTGTTCTGTTAGGTGAGCTGGCGATGAGTCACAGCCAGCTTAATGGCACCCAGCAAAAACAAGTCACTTCCAACTCACTGCGCCCCTGGGTAACAGGTACCCTGTGATTCTTTTTGTAAATGGATCTCCAGGCCTTTCTTTGGAAGCACCTCTCTGTGAACTATAGCTTTCAAACTTGCTCAAGAATGTTAAACCCTTCTGCACTACTCAGGGATTCCTAAATAGATACATGAGGCAGAGACAGTACTGCTGGCAAACGAAATGGGTTCAGCACCACAGGCAGGGTGGCTAGTAAAAGCCTGGTATGTGCAAGATAAATAAAATATAGCAAACACTAGATCGTATCATCGTTTGCATTGGCTTATTTGTAAACGTGCTACAGCCAACCCAAGATGCAAAGCTGCTCAGAAGAACATCACCATAGGGTTCTGTGAGGACAAGAGGCACACACTAAGTGAATAACTCAACCACTGACTCCAAACCCCACAAAAGTCAATTTCTTGATTGTGTATATCAGGAAATCAGTCCCATCACAAAACACAATGCTCACCACTGGGCACCAAATCTCGTTTGCAAAGATTCTTTTGCAGATGCACCCAAGATCTCCTTAGGAGGCTCAAGGAAGAACTAATTCCCACTAATGCGGAATGATGTTTTTTGAGTCACTTAACTTACTTGAATGGTTTTTTTTTTAAAAAAAAAAAGACATTTTTGTCCAGATTTTGTATAGTCCATATGCTAGAAAAGTGTAATCCAGAGAATCTGCTAGGAGATGGAACTTTACTGCCATCTGCTGGAAATATTTTATAACATACATAACACTAAGACTGACCATACTGTAATTCAGGTGCTAATAGAAAGATGGGCAGTTCAAACCCGTGATTTGCCCCATGGAGAAAGATGTACATCTGTCTACATAAGGATTACAACTTTAGGAACTTATGGAAGAGTTCTACTCTGTCCTACAGGGTTTCCCTGACTTGGAATTGACTCAGTGACCCATAATAGCACAACCAATGGTGACCTGTCTTGGGATGTTCAAGTGCATTTAATTAAACATTTGACTGTTAACCAAAAGGCTCACAGTTTGAAGCCATCCTAATGTGCCTCAGAAAACAGACTCAGAGAAACTGCTTCCAAACGGCCTTGAAAACTCTGTGAATCACTTCTATTCTGTGCACATGGAGTCATCATGAGTTGAAGTCCACTCAGCAACTAACAACCATCTGGAGCCTACATGAAAACGGCACTTGTTTAGATGAGTGGGCAGTGCACCTGACACTGGCGATGCCAAGGAGATTTCCCGACATTCTTGCAGTTCCTTAAGTCCTGTAACTGATGTTAGACAACTAGCGAAAACACACCAAGAATGCCCTTATGTGTCCCTGCCTGGGGTCTCAATGAGGGTTATAATTGCCCTGCATTCCATGGCAGAATCCTTTGATTTCTTGGCTTTGAGATCAGAGTGAAGGTTAGAGATTACAAAGAAAAAGAAAAACCCTTGGAGAGTCATTTTATCACTTATATCAGAATCCTCCCATCATTAACTAATTTGATTGTTTAGCATCATTTTCTTCATTTCCTGATTTATTAATCCATAATTGGGATGTGTTATTGTGTGGTTGTTGTTGTTGTTGTTAAATGCTGTCAAGTAGACTCACAGCGACCCTATGAAGGAGAGTCCTCAACGCTTGGGTGTCTCTCATCCTCTCTCCAGGTTCATAGGGTTTCCGGAGGCAAGCTATTATGGAAGTGGATGCCACTCCTCCTTCCACGCTTGTTTTAATCGGGGAGCTCCACCCCACTCTCTCTCCGCATGGGGTAACCAGCCATTAACGCATTTGACACATCAGTGTCAGTGTTCAGCCTCACAGCAACCACAAGTGACCACTGTACAACAAGTGGACACACCAGGGCTATACGACCTAGAGGAATGTCTGAACAAAAACAATGAAAGACAGGCCCGAGGGCCGCGGATTAAAAGTCACCCACTTTCGGCTTGGTAGCATCACCTTCTGTCCACTGGGCCAGCTGATCTCTCTATAATGATGCTACTGCTGTTAAGTGCTGTAGAGGAGCAGGCAACATAATTGGGACATGTTATTAGATAGGGTTATTCCTTGGAAAAGAACGTCATACTTGGAAAGGTAGAGGGTCCATGAAGGAGAGGAAGACCCCAACATGATTGATACAGTATCTGCGGTAGTGGACTCAAATGTGTCCATGATAGGGATGGCACAGGATAGGAGAGAGTTCAGATCTTTTGTTCCTAAGGTTGCTGTGAATCATACTCAGCTCGGCAGCACTTAACAGTAATTGTACTCCATACGTCTCATACCTACCTCTGAAGATCACTATGTGCTGCCACTTTGAATTTTTTCACATGTCCCAACCCATAGCACCACCTACATACATACTTAGCATATTTTATACAACCAATGGAATGTGATGCCATGTGTCTGGTCTTGGAAGTATCCGTTAAGAACATGCTCCAAAAAAAAAAACCATCTGAGTATATAATTTCTAATTACTGGAATGTATATATCTCTTCATCCTGTCTGCAAACTTTTTCAGTCTATATGCAGAATATATCACTTAGGAGGCTGGATTTTATGATGACTGTGGCATCAGGATTGGAGGAAGACTGACTCATCAACAACCCGCATTATGCAGATGACACAACCTTGCTTGCTGAAACTGAAGAGGACTTGAAGTGTTTGTTGTATATGGTCAAGGACTATAGTCTTCAATATGAATTGAAGTTCAACATAAAAAAAAAACAACAACAAAGATTCTCATCACTGGGCCAACTGGCAGCACCATAATAGATGGACAAGAGATTTGGGTTAACAATTTCAACTTGCTCAGTTCCACACTCTTGGTACCAGCAGTCAGGAAATCAAAAGATTAATTGCATTAGGAAAATCTGCTGTCAGGGACCTCTCCAGAGTTCTAAAAAGTAGTGTTTTCAGTCTAGAGACTAAGGTGCACCTGATCCAGGTTATAGGCTTTGTAATTATTTGCTATGCATCAGAGAGCTGGACAATGACTAAGGATGACAGAAGAAAAAGCGATGCCTTTGAGTTGTGGTGCTGGAGAAGAGTACTGAACATACCATGGACTGCCAAGAGAATAAAGAGGTCTGACCTGGAGAAAGTGAAACCCAGTTGCTCAATGGAGGCAAGAATTTTAAGACTGTCTCACATACTTTAGGCACGTACGCAGAAGGACCAGTTCTTGGAGGATAACATGCTCGGAAGGGTGGAGGGACAGGGCAGGAGAGGAAGACTCTGGATGAGATAGATTTCCTCAATAACTGGGATAATGGGGGTAGGTGTGTCAGAGACAGTGAGATTGACTCAGGATAGAGCAGAGTTCAGAGCTATTGTGCATAGAGTCCCCATGAGTCACACATACATCTCTTCACCAGCCATCAAATCAGTTAAAATACAGTCTTTAGCTTTGTTATTAGAGCCAAAAATGAGTTTCTAGATACCAGCACTATGTCGTCTGTAACATTTTATCATGTTTCCACCTGGCCTCAAATCAGACAGTTGTGATATATGCCTAATTTTCCCAACTCCACATCTGAATTCTGATGTGTGTACCCATCACTTTACACTCCCTATTTGTTAGGTGAGTTCTGAGTTGGCACTCTCAGGACTTTGTGGCGGTGCAGCCTCTGTTAGAACTGTACAACTGTCTCTTTACAGAGAGAGCAGCCCTAGACCGTAGAAGTGAAGTCATGGGAGTCAGTCTGTGGGCCTCACGGAGCTCGGCTCTGAGCTCTCATGTATTTTCCACGTCTTCATCCACTTATTCTCCTTTTCCATAGACTCTACTTTATACAAAGAATGTTCCCTTACATTTATGTACTGAATCACCTATTCATAAAAAAAAACAAAAAAAACCCCAAAAACCCAAACAACAACAACAACACAGTTTCTTCTAGGTATACTATTGGAAAAAAAAAAAAAAATTAACAAGAACTGAAAACCAAGCTGGGTTGAGGGTTTTGGTCTTCTGTTAAATGCGGTCAAAGCAACGAGACCCTGTGAACAATGGATCTGAATCCTGCTCTATCCTGTGCCGTCCGCACCACCTGTGACACATTCGAGACCACCACCCTACTGTCTGTGTCAGTCCATCTCATTGGGTCTTCTTCTTGCCAACCCTCTACCTTTCTCAGCATTATGTTTTTCCAAGGACTGAATCCTTCTAACAACATGCCACAGTATATGAGATAAAGCTGACTGCATCTCTCCCAAGACATATTTTTGCATTCCATGGGATAGTCAGCATTCTTCTCCAAAACCACAACTCAAGGCATCAATTCTTCACCATCTTAATTTATTTGGAGAAATGGTTTAAAGATACCGAGTGACAAACAGCTAAGAAACGAGACATCACAAAACAGGCTATAAAGTTGCTGAATGTGATGTACAAGCGATAAATGCAGATTTTAATTGTACCGTATAACACCTCACATAAAATCACTGGGTTCCATAATAGCTTGGTTTTCACAGCCAGTTGACTAAACTGAGTGATATAAAGCTTATCACCAAATCAGACGTGAATTTCTGGTTCATTTGCACAGTAAATCATTTCCATCCCATAGAGATTGTAGCAAGTCACTCTGTGCAACAGAAAAACACAGTTCCTGTGCCTCAGAATTCACATTCCATAAAGGACTGGTCTGAACTGGTCGAGATTATTTTCTTTTGCACAACGCTAAGACATAATAAAATACTGAACACTATATATATAGACACTCTTCTACTAGGAGTTTGAACTGTTTAGCAATAAACAGAGAGTTTCTGTCCTCTGAAACAGAGTTGAAGTGACTTGCTGCTGCCACAAAGCTGGGTGCTCATAGCCTCCGAAAGCTAATTGTGATTGCTTTGACGCAGAGCCTGCAATTTTAACAATAACAGCTGTGCTGTTGACTCCGATGACAGGTACTCGCAAGATGGAGTATAAGGGCAGCAGCTGGCATGAGACCTGCTTCATCTGCCACCGCTGCCAACAGCCAATCGGAACCAAGAGTTTCATCCCTAAAGACAACCAGAATTTCTGTGTGCCCTGCTATGAGAAACAATATGCCATGCAGTGTGTTCAGTGCAAAAAGGTACCTCTTATTCTCCCTTGGACCCTGCACACCTGGCCGGTTTGTCTCCATGTCCGCTGCCTGTTGGCTCTTCCTCTCCTTTCCTGGAGTAAATACAGTGGCATGAATTTGTACTTTAGAATCCTCATGTATCTCTCTGTATTTGTGGTTAGCTAGTACACTTCTTCCCTCAAAGTCTGTTGTGCTCTGGAATAATAACCCTTTATCTTTCCTGGTTTTAGAGTACTCCTAAATATTTTGTCACATTTATGACTTTATGGCCTAAATAGTGAGAAGGGGAACTCATTATCTCCAAACTACTTTGGTTTGGCAGTTCTTGCAAAACAAGCAAGCAAACTGCTAAATGTGGCACGGGGACACAGAATGCAGTCCCTAAAAGCTAACATGATGGTACTCATTTCATAGAGGGGGGGAAACCAAGCTCTGGAGGAAGAGTCTGAAAGAGAGGTAATCAAGGGACAGCTAAGAAGTTTGCAAAGCTTGTTCCCGAGTGACTTTTAAAACAGCTGAATGAGGCTTTTGAATCAATGTCAATAACTGAGACTGAGATAAGAGATACTGTACTATAAAACTGACGGCCCTCTAACTAGACGAACTGCCTGTTCTCCATTCCCTGCCCTGCCAGCCCATCACCACTGGAGGAGTCACCTATCGGGAGCAGCCCTGGCACAAGGAGTGCTTTGTGTGCACCGCCTGCAAGAAGCAGCTGTCGGGGCAGCGTTTCACGTCTCGGGATGAGTTTGCCTACTGCCTGAATTGCTTCTGTGACTTATATGCCAAGAAGTGTGCTGGGTGTACCAACCCAATTAGTGGTAAGTATTTTCACTTGAACTTAACATGGACTTCTTAAAGAAAACGACAGACCATCTGCCCATCTTCACACAGCAAACTTGAAGAAAACAAAGGTAGAATGCTTTAGCATAGGAATGTATGTGATTGGAATCTTAAGGCACGCAAGTTACAGTTGAGAACCTGTAATTGCTTTTCTTGTTCTATTAGATGCATCCCAGCAGGTAACTACTTGTCACTTAAAATCATGTGGGCTGTTTGCAGTGAGTTTATGGTATGTGCTTCAGAGTAGATTATCTCTCAAACTGCATCCATATAAGTGAGAGGCCCCTAATCAATTGACTGACAAACCAAATTGTGGATAAAATATTAAATATGCCACAAAATTTTGCATCAACAAATAGCAGTCCTTTAAATTGCTACTGTAAATTAATGACTGAGTAGGCAGAGAAAAGCAGGTTGGTGGCACAGAAAAATTTTCACTATTATTTTTGATCCTTACATTCAGTGGAATGGTTGTCTATATTTCACAATGAAACTTTAACCAGTTTAGTTTTTCATTCAAAGGAGCCCTGGTAATGCAATAGTTAAGTGAATGGCAGCTAACAGGGTGGTTGGACCCACCCAGAGACTCTATGGGAGAAGTATTTCTCTGCTTCCATCAAGATTGCAGCCTAGAAAATCCCATGAGGCATATGTCATATGGGGCTGAGAGAGCTCTGGGAGCCTAGTGAGTAGAGAATTGTGCTGCCAACCCAGAAGTGGGAGGTTCAAATCTGCCAGCGGCTCCTCGGGAACGAGACAAGCAGTCTCCTTCTGTGTGACTTACTGCCTTTGAAAACTCGCTGGAGGATCAGATATGAGCTGGTTCTGACTTAATGGCCAGGAGTTTGAGGGTTATGTTTTATGAATTGAATTTGATGGTACCTAGCAGTAGCGTAGTAACAACAGTTTGATTCTGACTAGTTAAGCCTTCTCTAGTTTCATTCTGTTATTGTTCCTCTATTAACAGGAATCGGAGGCACAAAGTACATCTCCTTTGAAGAACGGCAGTGGCACAATGACTGCTTTAACTGCAAGAAGTGCTCCCTGTCATTGGTGGGGCGAGGTTTCCTCACAGAGAGGGACGATATCCTGTGCCCTGACTGTGGAAAAGATATCTGAAGGAGAGATGGAGAAGTTACTGCTTGCAGTACGCATAGATTGATGTTTTCTTTCTCAGCCAGGCAATGTTGTGTTCTGGTTTTCATCAGACTTTCCTCTTGTGCTTCTTCTCAGTGACATTCACATTTGTTTAAACTCTTTAATCCTTTTTACTACTTGAGTTTCAAGGAAGGAGAAAGCTTCTATATAAACAATAGTTGGGAATTGGTTTTGAATTTTTTGTAATATGGAAAATCTAGAGAGTTAAAAGTCCTTTGAATGCTGTTATTATAAATGTATCTTTCTTTCACGGCATATTTAATTTTTAAGTGCAATTAGTGTGTCACAAACTTGGAAAACTTTCCAAACTGTATAAGGTTATGAAGAGTTGGTATTCACACCTGTATAACTTCCTGTCATAGAAAGACTAAAGATTATGTGATTTACAATAAAGTTATTTAGTACAATATCCTTTTGTCATCTTCATTGAGTGAAACTATGAAGCACTGAGGGTTTAAGTATAAGTATTTTGATCTGTGGTGCTAGAAAAGAATACTGAATATACCATGGACTGCTAGGAGAAAAAACAGGTTTCTCCTAGAGAGTGTGAGACCAGGCTGCTCTTTGGAGGCAAGGGGCTTCATCTGACATACTTTGGACATGTTGCAAGGCAGGACTAGTCCTTGAAGAGGGACGTCATGCTTGGGAGGGTGGAGGGACAGTGCAGGAGAGGAAGATCCTCTACCAGGTGGATTGATTCAGTGACTGGGGTAATGGTGGTAGGTGTGTCAAAGACAGTGAGATTGGCACAGGATAGAGCAGGGTTTATGGCTCTTGTATATAGAGTTGTTATGAGTTGCAAGTGACTCAACAGCATATACAACAAACAACATACTGTATTACACTGTACAGTGAGCACTGTATGAAGTGCATGTTTTAATGGACTAGGTCAAACTGCATCACATTTTTTAAATGACAAAAATCTTCAGTTCTCACCATCTTTCTCTTCTTCCTTGTCATCTTCCTCTTCTCCATAATTTTTTTTTCTTGTAATTAATGCTCTGGCTTTGACGGATTAACGTAATCTCCAGGATATGACCCAAGTTTGAAGCGAATGAGAGTGAAGTCAGCTTTCAGGGTACTTTTTTGACAGAGCCCAGCTCTTCTCGTTTTCAGAGCCAGAACTGGGCAAGGTTTAGTTCTGTATGTTGTACACCAGGGAGCTGTGTCAGAGCTGACTTGATGGCACCTAACATGCTTGTCTTAGTTTCTTAGTGCTGCTGTAACAAAGACCTCAAATGGATAGTTTTAACACAAAAATTTATTTTCTGGCCTTTGGGAGTTTCTAAATCCAATTTCAAGAGGATGTAGAACAAGATCTATTTTCTCTAGGGAAAAATGTTTTTTGTAGCTTTAGAATTCCTTGATTTCTTGACAATTTCCATATGGCAATAATGCTCTCTTCTGTGCCTGCCTGTCTTTCTCTTTATTATGCCTAACCTGCTGTGTTCATAGGTCAAAGTTGATGGAGATTTAAGTGGTACCTTGCAGTAATGAGGGAGCCCTGGTGCCGTGGGTAAGGAGTTGCTGCGAGCCGAAACCCATTATTTTAGGAGGATAGATCCAATCAATAGTAATACCTTTCACTGACCTGCTTTCTCAGCAGTTAAGTGTAGGATTACAAAAGGACACAAGCAACTTGAGGCCCAAAATCACAGAACTAGGTGAGACATGATGTCCTGGGAAAAGTGCAACCCGAAAGTCCTTGGAGGCAAAGATGGTGAAGCTTCGTCTGAAGTACTCTGAGCAGCATGTTGCTAAGAAAGGTTATTCCTTGGAAAGGGATCATGCTTGGAAAGGTGGAGGGTCAGCAAAAGATACAGACCGTCAATGAGATGGATTGATACAGTGACTGCAGCAAAGGTCTCAAGTATGTCAAAGATGAGGGACAGGACAGGGGTCAGATCTTTTGTTCATATGGTGGCTATGAGTTGTATTCAATTCATGGGTACCTAAAACAGGTGAAAGTACTGAATTAAAAGACCAGCAATTGTAAATCAGACACACATAACCCATGAACTGCCTGCTGTCAAAAAAATCTTGTAAAGCATCATTATGTAACTGGAAAGGACTAAGACAATTTATGGGGTCTTAGTGCTGTTGAGGTGAAAGTGACTCATAGTTGTGCCGCTAGTGGGTTTTCAGAGGCAGTAAATCACAGACTGTCCATCCTTCTTCCACTGAGCAGCTGGTGGATTCGAGCCACGTGCCTTTGGGACTGCGGCACAGCTACTTACTGCTCGGCTGCCAGAGTACCCCAATTTATGGGGTAGGGTACATTCCTTTTTTACAATGTAGAATCAGTAGTTGCCTGTGTCCTTTGTATTCTAAGATGTGATAATGGTTTTTAAACAGCATTTACGATGGAATATATAAAACTGTAGAAATGAAGTTTATGTGCAGCATCTGAAAACCCACTGGAGAGCATAACATGGTCAAAATGGTCAGTATTTACCAGAGGGGGAAAGGAAGCTAGGTCACTGGAAACAACAGAAAGGGAATGAAAATACTGACAGGAATGGTAACCTGTGTCACAGAACAATTCATGTTCTGGACCTGCGAGTTGCCTGCGGCTCATAGTGACCCTAACAAAGTATAGCAGCTCTGAAGCCTGCCCAGTCCTGAGTATGCCCCATTACCCCAGTTACAGTACCAATCCATCTCATCTGGGGTCTTCCTCTCCTGCGCTGTCCATCCACAAACTGTAAAATGGGAACCTAATTTACTTCCACCTAAAAACCAGAATATTGCCAATACAAATCGCGTGGGTGGATATTACCATCTTTCTGCAGAGCAGGTGGCTGATTCAAACCACTTACTCTCGGGTTGGCAGAACTCCTTACCACATGGTCTCATAATTGTTTATAAAAGAATTCATTTATTACTCATGGGTGATCCAATTATTTTATAATCCAGTCTTGTTTGGCTGAAAATGACTACGGAGTATGGTTTCAGTTTACAGTTAAAAGGGCAAGTCTCCAGGGTTCCTGCATTCTGTCAGTCCAGTAAGTATGATCTTAATGGATCATACGTATTGGCCAGTAAGTATCTAGAAGATACTGGACCACACCTTATTTGTCCTTATGTGATGGTCTCTAAAGAAGCAAAACCACTTAAGTAAGCATACAGAGTGATTTTTCTCAAGGATATGGCTCAGGTGCTTGGCAAGCCCCAAGTCTGTGGGTTGCTTCTCCTGACAGCGGCTGGAATCAAATTACCAGGATCAGATGACAGGTTGTAGAGGCAGATGAATTCCAATCCAGGAGCCAGATGAGCTGAATGCCCGATACAGTGCAAGCCAGAATCTGTTTTTATGTACTGGAAGCAGCCCACACCGCCAAGGAAACTCCTTTGCAAGATTAGAGACCTCTCTTGGAAGTGATTTCTATCAGGTCATAAGATGGAATGGAAACACAATTACCTGTCAAACCACTGAAAATGATGACACAACCTAACAATCACAATCTTCTAGATTCATCTATGTTGTTTTATGGACGTAAGAGTTGCATTTTTTACAGATCCCCTGTGTAAATATTTGTTTACTTAAGTATAAAAACAGTGATTTCTGAAACAGATCAGGAGAAATTATAAACAGCAGTATAGGGAAAACTTGAAAAATACAGTAGTGGAATTAAAAATTCACTAGAGGGACTCAACAGTATATTTGAGTAAGAAGAGAAAAAGATTCACTTAAAGATAAATAGGCAACAGATTAAGCAATCTGAACAGCAGAGGTGGAGAAAGGGGGGGTGTAAGCAGGAAACAGCTCAGAAAAAGTGTAGTGTGAGATCCCCACAATGACTGACTAGTTTTAAAGTATTATACATTGGGTCCTCCCCATTTTACTTTCTTTAGGAATATTACAACCCTTGCCTCTTCCACACAAATTTTAACCAGCTCACCAAGCTCCCTAATAGATGTTGAGTTAGCAGCAAAAGACATCAATCCAACTTACAAGAGAACAGTAGTAGATACTGTCCAATCCTGTGTTATCCTTACAATTAGTTACGTCTGAATTCATTTTTGCAGGCACTGTGTCAATCCATGCCATTGAGGCTCTTTCTCTTTTTTGCCGACGTTCAGCTTTACCAAGCATGATGCTCTCCAGGAACTGGTGCCTCCTGACAATGCCTCCAAGGAATATGAGGCAAAGCCTCACCATCCTTGCCTTAAGAAATATTCTGAAGGAGCTCTGGTGGCTTAGTGGCAAGAAGGTGCACTGCAATCCCAGAGGTATGCGGTTCAAATCCACCAGATGCTCTGCTGGAGAAAGAGGGGCAATCTCCTCCTGTACTAGTCAGATCTGATTTGATGGTACACAGAAAAAAAATAATAAAATTGTTGTTGCTGTTGTTATGTGCCGTCGAGTCGTTTGTGACTCATAGCGACCCTATGCACAACAGCCCTAAACCCTGCTCTATCCTGCGCCAACCACACTGCCTCTGACACACCCATCCCGATTACCCCAGTCACCGAATCAATCCATCTCATAGAGGGTCTTCCCCTCCTGCGCTGTCCCTCCACCCTCCCAAGGACCCGTCCTTCCTGGCAACATGTCCAAAGTATGTCAGACAAAGCCCCAGAATCCGTGCCTCCAAGGAGTAGCTTGGTTTAATCCTCTCCAAGATGAATCTGTTTGTTTTCCTGGCAGTCCATGGTACATTCAGTACCACAGCTCAAAAGCATCAACTCTGCTTCTGTCCTCCCTAGTCATTGTCCAACTCTCTGATGCATAACAAGCGATTGCAAAGACCATGGGCTGTATCAGGCACACCTTAGTCACCAGAGAGACACCGTTGCTCCTGAGTACTTTAGAGAGGTCCCTAACAGCAGACTTTCCCATCACGATACACTTTTTGATTTCCTGACTGCTGGTGCCAGGAGTGTGGACTGTGGAGCCGAGCAAACTGAAGCTGTGAACAACCTCAATCTCTTCGCCATCCATCCTGATGCTGCCAATTGGTCACAGAAAAAAATAATAAAATTAAATTTTTAAAAAAGAAATATTCTGGTTGTACTTCTTCCAAGACAGATTTACTCATTATTCTTCTGACAATCCATGGAATTAAACTCTTTACCAACATAATACAAATGCTATTTCATTTCCTAACTGCTCTCAAAATAGCAACCAGCTGCATGTATGGTGAGCTGTGTGTGCTGGCACAGAACGGAGCTCCACAGGGTTTTCAGTGACTCGTTTTTCAGAGTAGACTGTCAAATCGACCTGATGTGCCTTGGAGACTCAAACCTAACTTCTTGGCTAACAGTCATGGAACTAGCAGTTTCTGTGGCATCATGTCATGTCAAACACAAGACCACAGCAGAGACCCTAAGATATGGCTGGACTCTTTAGATTGTACTAATCTCAATCTTCAATCAGAGGGCTGGATGGTAAAGAGGAACACTTTTCAATATAATTTAGTAAAAAAAGGTCAAGTCATCATAGAGTATTTTTAAATATTTTTTACAAATAACATACAGTCAAAAGATCATTTTTATTCAGTTTATTTAAATAATGGTAGGGCTACTTAAAAGACTTTTTATATACAAAAATGTACATTACAAGGTTAAACTTCTCTGTACTGAAGTACAAATTCTGCACAAGCATTTAGTAAAAGAGCACACTTAAAAACATTGTGACCATTTCGTAGCCTCTAAAAGTTCCACAGTAGTAAACAGAAGAAGCTCTTAACAGACATATGATTTAATCTACTGGCAGTTATACTTAATGTAAGTTTTAAAAAGATCATTGCTACTGAATGAATCTCTACAGCATTTTAGAATCATCTCTCAAAACATAAGCCAACCAAAATATTATTTCAAATAATAATAATTCTGAAGACTTTTTAATACTAGCAAAAACATGATGATCTCATATTACCAGCTGAACCCACTTGCCTAGTGCCTTGTAGCTCTCTAAATTAAGAGCTATGCTGGAAAACTATACTGTCTTTACAGTCACTGGGAAGCAGTGTAGGGCACCTGGTGCTACAGTATTGAAACTTTTCTGTAATTCACCCAGCAGTCTACGATCCCTCAAATGTAAGGCCTGGAAGTCGGCCAATCTTTATTTACTCTTCAGGAATGAGCAGGGCCCAGCAATATGACCTTATAAACCTAAGCCTAGGTTTAGGATCTACAGAAAGAAGGAAAATGGAAGTAATGAAATTAAAAGCATAGGCAAAGAGGATAAGAAAAAATGGAAAGAAAGAAAGCTGAGGGAAACAAAGGAAAAATAAGACAACCTGCCAATGGCAGGAGTAGTAAAGCGCTCTAACTACCTCAGAAGTCACACACTGGCCTGGATGCCATTCATTTGCCAATCTCAACAGAAGAAAATCTGGCGCTATTGGAAGAATAATATGAACCCATGTTAGCAAGTACAAAGTATATTCCAAAGTTGTATGCTATTAAATTCAAGACCTAACTGTTAAAGCACATCAGCCAACATTTCAAAACATTTCCAACATTTGTGTTTGATTCTCATCATTCAGTACTGATTAGCCAGCTCAAGACAAGTTGTATGCATATACTTTCAGAAGGCACGAGATCTATAAGATGCTGGTTTTATTTAATACATAGAAAATGGCTTCACTTCTCTCCACACTGCCAACACTGCCAATTCAAGATAGCTCAGTATGCTGCTGTCTGAGCACTGACTCTGAATGTTCATAATACAAACTTCAATTTGAAGCAACAATGTTATACAGTTCAGCTGTTATTACCAACCTACTCTGTAAGGCAAATATACAAATTAAAAATTAATCTCACTGAGTAACTAAAAATAAATTTCCACTGACTTAAAATCATCAAAAGGCTCTCTCTCTCTTAACTAAGAGAGAAATGCAAATGGAAGCGGGAGAAAGGGAGCAGCAAATGAATATAAAATAGAACATTTTCAATTCTGTCCTAAAATCTGTACTTTTAAAATTTCCCTTAAGATAGACTTACAAAATGTACATTAACAATATCAGCCCTGCAGATAACTATGTATTTAAAACCATAACTTATATTTAGGATGCCTCAGTCATGCCTTTTGCGTATAGATTTAGAGTCCGGTATAAAGGCAGAATAGTTAAAAGTTTGTAGGTAAAAGTTTTAGTACTGTATTTACCTGCAAGGCTGAATTAATTTTTTGCAAGGCTATTCAACAGCTGGATTCAAATAACAACAAAAAAATGAGACTAAGAAACACTGGAAAAGACAAGACTTCAAAGACAATCATACAAGAGGAAAAAATATAAAGAATATAATCTTGATTAGAAATACGTGGCAGAGAAATTAACACTAAACCTTAAGAAGGTGAATCCTATTTTACCACTGACTTCCATTCCACCACTGGAGTGATACTATCACTTGAACAAAAATGAACACAGACCTTCGTAGAGAACTCTGCATGTGACCATCACTGGGATACTGTCCCTACTGAATGTCCCAGAGGCCCTGTGTAACTGTCAGGACATTTTTTCCGGTGCTGTGCACCATAGTGTTATCACTTTAGAACCTCTTCCAGTATCCACTGGAAATGCTATGGGGTCATTCCACCACACTTTCAGAGGTTCTAGAATTCTGCTCTCCTCTCTGTAGTCTCTCGACTTTCAAGTGCCAACTTGAACATGATTCTTTAGCTTGGAAATTTTTAAGTAAACCTCATTTTAAAACAATTAAGCTCCTAAGAAGGAGCAATACCTAAACTCACAGAGTGAGATCACAGATTGCTCATGCAGAGTGGGTACAGCTACTGCACAACAAAACTGGGGGGAACCACCAAACAAGGAAACAAAAAACATAAAGCCAATTCCATCATGCTGACTCTAGCTCAGAGCAGCATTATAGGACAAACTAGAACGGCCTGATAGGATTCCCAAGGCTGGAAACTGTTGGGAAGCAGACTGCCACATGTGTCTTCTGTGGAGTAGCTGGTGGATTTGAAGTACTGACCTTTGGATTAGCAGCTGAGTGCCTTTCCCATTATATCACCAGGACTTGGGGGAAGAGAAAATGCCTCAAGAATGAAAATCGGCTTATCAATTCATAATAAAGGAATTCTGGCACTGTGGAAAAGGGCAATAGCAAGCACTAATTTTCCCTTTGATCGCTCTATGAAGCAGTAGCATTATTAAGTACTTGAACAGCAGCGATTATCTGGATTCTCTGTATATTCTGATTAGTTTTCCAGCAATATCTACCAATATGATTTTCTTGTTGACACCCTAAAGATGAGTTTAGCAATATTTACTCAAATATTCTGATGGATTGTTATATTCCTTTAACTGGGGAAAAACTGACCTACTAAAATATTTGAGTTTTTTTTTTTAAATCCTAAGTGTCACCCACCAACCCCTAAAAGAATCTGACAGAGACAAATCAAAGTAATTCTTAAAATATGTATTTTATATCAGATCTACAGCTAATAATTTGACTAAGGGCAATATAAATGACTTATGTTTAAGTCATTAGTTTGAGAAATTCTTTCCTAGTCAGGGCAAGAAGCAAAACTTTAAAGAAAGTAGAAAAGAATGAAAAGGAAAAGGAAACATCAAAAAATTTTTTTAACCTAATTTGAAACCTCTTAAGAAAATTCCTTAATCAGAATCTTTGTAAATACTGTGAACTTATAAATACTGTGAACACGATAAAGAATGTGAATTTGTTTGAAAAACTAGTAATAGCTATATTTACATTTTTTTGAGAAACTTTCCTTCATGGCCAAGTAACATGCTGTATCTTCCTTTTTGCTTCTGGGGGCTTCAAGTTATCCTGAAAAGACAGTAAGAAATCATTTTACACTTGCAGAAATGCCACTAAACAAAATAAACACCCTAACTCTCTTGCGACCTATGCCCAGTTATATTTTCTACCTCTGTGGTTTAGTAAGAAACTGCACTGGAATCCCAAAAGCATGTGGTTTGAATCTACCAGATGCTTGACGGGAACAGGACAGGAAATCTCCTCCCATGTCACTTACTGGTTTTGAAAACCCAACTGCAGGTCAGTTCAGATTTGATGACATACAACATCACAGTGTTAGTATATGCTGCCACCTGGTGGGCCTCACAGCTGAATAAATATGAATAAACATCCCCACTCCTTTCATCCAAAACCCTCATTTTTCTCCCTAACAAAGGTGACTAAAATAATTACTAAGGAAGAATCCTTTAGGATCAAAAAGATTTGAGTTCAAATTCTAATCTGATGACTTATTGATTCTGGAAACATGAATATTAATTCTCTATGTGTCTATTTCTTCATCTGTGAAATGGAAATGACAACAGAGCCTACTTCATGGAGTCATTAAAAAGATTCAATTAACATCTATAAGGAAATAATTGAGAACCTGTCAAGTATACACAGCTTTCTTACCCCTCTAGTACAGTATATTATTGTAGAATTCTTGACCTACTTTGAGTTTTGATTCTTTGGACATACAATTAGATAAAAAGTCAAATCATGCAACAATAAAACTATAAAACTATTGGGTGTTTAAAAATGAAATAATTTCTAAGGACTATTTAAAAAACAAACAAAACATAATTAACTAATGAAAATTTAAATAGACTAAATTTTTTAAATTTTGTGTGTGTGTGTGTACCATCAAATCAGATCTGACCAGTACAGGAAGAGATTGTACCTCCTTCTCTAGCAGAGCACCTGGTGGATTCGAACCGCTCACCTCTGGGATTGCAGTGCAGCTGCCTGTCACTAGGCCACCAGAGTTTCCTTACATAGACTAACATTTTATCCAATTTTTATCATACTTAAATGTAAATATTCGAATGTTATATATTTTATATGTGTATGTTGTTGTTGTTGTTAAGTGCCGTTGAGTCACAGGCGACTCTATGAAGGACAGTCCTCGATGCATGGGTGCCTTTCATCCTCTCTCCAGGTTCGTAGGGTTTCCGGAGGCAAGCTATTATGGAAGTGGATGCCACTCCTCCTTTCAAGCTTGTTTTAATCGGGGAGCTCCACCCCACTCTCTGTCCGCATTAGGTAGCCAACCATTAATGCATTTGACACATCAGTGTCACAGGCTATATAACATACAATTATTATTAAGAATTTTTATTATGAATAATTATTATTATGTATATATACAATTATTATAAATGTTATAATAGATTCCCCCAAATTTGCCTGTATTTTCTCAATGATGTATTTGAGGGAGGAAAAGGAAAGGTGTAAATCTTCAAAACATTCTAGTGTGGTTTTAAGCAGATTCCAAAGAGAAAGTCAATTCACAAAATGCTACTTAATAAATGTATGATCCTAGGTTTTAACATTTTTAGTCTCATTCACAAAGACTATTTCCCTCTTTTAGTTATAAGATAGCTCAATAAAGGAACTAAAGAAAATTACATATTTTAAGCAGAAAGCTAGTGCATTTTTTGAAAGAAGAATTTATCATCATGGATTTCATGTTTTCAGGGCTTTAAACCCCACAAAAGTAGAGAAATGTAAAAAAATAAAATCAGCCATTAAAATGTTCGGGAACAATGTCGCACGTCTGGCCCCGCAGATAAGGAGCACAGCATGTGAAATCCGTCCCCATTACTGGTACAGACGCCACTCTTCAGACTTACCATCGGCTCCGCCTCTTCTTTAGGAGCAACTCGCTTTAACTTGACTGGTGTCGTTCCAACGGGGGCTATCAATGGCAATTTCACAGGGTCTGAAGAACTTTTTCTAAGTGTTAAGTCATGGTTCTGCTTCGGCTCATTATTGTGTTCCATTTTATTGTTCATAGGCAAATTGGAAGACAAAATAAAGGATGAAACACCTGAAGAGGAATCTGATGATTTCCGAAAGGCATTATTGGTAGAGCTTGCCTGAGGGGGCGGCTTTAATCGATCATTATCTCCATTCTCTGTCTTTTTCACTTTTATGCTTGTACTTGTTGAACTCCCATCAAAAACAATGAGAGGTCTTTTCCTTAATCCGTCTACAGTGGTACTCCTGAAACCAAAGAAATGCCCTCTTAAAAGGTATGATCTGGAAAGGCAGAGTGGTACACTGGATCTCAAAGTGAAAATAAACACCACTACCAAAAAACCTTATTATGCACACCCATGTTTATTGCTGCTTTGTTCACAACAGCAAAGAGGTGGAAACAACCCAAGTGCCCATCAACAAACGAATGGATAGAGAAGCTCTGGCATATTCACACAATGGAATATTATGCAGAACTGAAAAACAGGAACCCATGAAATATACAAAATGGGTGACCATGGAGGACATTATGCTGTGACATCAGTTACAAAAAGACAAATGCTGCATAATGCCACTGTTATACAACAGGACTGACAGGGGGTTTGGGGAAAACTAAGAAAAGAGGGGATAAATAATGTACACGGCATTGAAACGGACAAGGGAGAGAACTGTATAAAAGGAATATATGATTAGGTATTATTGGCATGACGTGAGTCCAGAATAAGAGCAGCATAGTAAACTGATCTGTGAGAGGGACTGTATAACAATAAAAGAACTTTTGTCCTCAAGAAAAAACAAGCGCTTTCTTCACCATGACTGGATCCTCTAGTGTCATCGCTAAGAAGAACGTGGTTCACAAAACAACTATGAAATATCATCTCACCCCAGTCAGAATAGCACAATGTAATAGAATGGCAAGCAACAAATGCTGGTGAGGTTGTGGAGAAACTGGAACCCTTATTCACTGTTGGTGGGAGTGTCAAATGGTGCAATCACTGTGGAAAGCAGTATGGTGCTTTCTCAAAAAGTTGCAAATAGAGACACCATTTGACCCAGCAATTCCACTACTGGGAATATACCCCAAAGAGACCATAACCGACATCCAAGCAGATATATGCACACCCATGTTTATCGCGGATTAGTTCACAATAGCAAGGAGTTGGAAACAACCCAAGTGCCCATCAACAAACGGACAGAAAAGCTGTGGTATATTCACACAATGGAATATTACGCTGCATTGAAAAACAAGGAACTCATGCAATACTATTCAAAATGGGTGAGCCTGGAGGATATTATGCTGAGTGAAATATCTCAGTTACAAAAGGACAAATACTGCATGATGCCACTATAGTAGACTGGGACTGACATCAGGGTTGGGGTAAGACTGAGAAAAACTGGATAAATTATGTATACCACATTGAAACACATGAGGGAAAGAACAATTTAAAAGTGATACATGATAGGGTACTATGGTTATCATAAGAGTCCAGAATTAATGTTTCATAGTGGAGTGTACTTGGAGGGGGGTGGAATGCGGGGGATTGTATACCAAAGAAAGAATTTTTCTTTTACTTTTGAAAGAGAGGAGTGAACTGGGGGGAAGGGGTGGGCAGGGAGAAATGTGCAACAATGAATGAATAGAAATCCAAAATCTCTGTAAATGTTCATTAAAATTAATAACAAAAAATTTTTTAAAAAGTAAAAAAAACTAAAAAAAAAAAAAAAAGTGGTTCAGCAACTTCGGCTGGAAGCTGGGCTCAATCACATGCAAGTTTCCCAGACACCGCAGATCTGAAAGAATTCTGTCTGCAGAATGTTCAACATGACCCTTTGCTGACTGAAGTATTTTCAAGTACAAATCCCTTCAGACCCCAGAAAGTTTTTTCATTTTTGTAGTAAAATGAATCTTTCAGAGGTTTCCTAAACCACTCTTAAGAACCAGTGAATATTCAAAGGAGAGCTAAATATGAAGCCTTTACAAAATCTTATCCCTACAACACGTGTCATACTATACAGATTTCTACTTTGGTCAGTTCTTAATATCTACCTCTCTGAATTTTCGTAAGTTTCTATTTCACAAGGGTAGTAATTATTATATATACACTGGTAGCCGCATATAATAAAGTCCTTGGTATATAAAAAAGAAAAAATGAACTAGGGGGAGAGGGGCAGGGAAAAAAATGTGCAACAATAGAATAAACAAAACAAAACACCTTACTGACAAACTATATTTTAAGTGAGACCGATTACCAGAAATGAAATTTTCTATTTTCACTCTAAATGAAAAGGTAACTTTTGTGTAATTTATTTTAAAATTTAAAATATTGTAAGAAATTTAAAGTTAGGTTTAATACCTACCACAAGATAATCTTTAAAACAAAAAGCAACAAATGGTCATATTTTATGCAAACAGCACACAATACATAATCTTATCAACATGTGTAATCTCCTTCGCACACATTTATTATGTGTCAGAACAATTCATAATTGATCTCTGGCAGGTTTTCGGGGCAGTGTATTGCACAGTATTGCACAGGAGAATATCTTTTCCCCATGGAGTAACTGGTAGAATCAAACCTTGTGTCTTTGGGTTGGCAGCTTAACTCACTGTCCACTTGCCCATTCATCAGTTACTATTTAGAAAGGATAAGAAACTAAAACTATATTACAAAGGCTGTCCACAATTAAGCAAAACCTCTACTCAACTCACTAAAGGTTTCTAAAACCAAAGCTAGGTGTAGGGAGCTCTGGTGGCATAACGGTTAAGAAGCTGTGCTGCAGTACTGAAGGTTCCCCATTGGAATCCACCAGCTGCTCTGTGGGATGAAAGATGGGTAATCTCCTGTGTGATTTATTGCCCTGAAAACCTGCTGGAGCGTCGACTATGGGTCAGTTCCGATTCCATGACACACAACAACAAAACCAAAGCATTCTCTAAACTGTAATCGTTATGTGTGCACAATTTGCTAACTGTAAAAATTATTTTTTTTGGATTTCCATTCATTCATTGTTGCACTTTTCTCCCTGCCCAGCCCTCCCCCAGCCCCCCCAGTTCGCTCCTCTCTTTGAGAATTGTAAAATTTTTTAAGTCTTCACATTTCATTTTTAAAAGCTAAGCTCCACTCTAAATCATAAACATATATGAAGAATCAAAACATTCACTATTTGTTTATATACCGCAAGTTATACAACAGATTTAATTTTTTTACATTAAGGAATTAAAAGAATTTGAGTAGCCACTTAATTGAAGAATGTCTCAGCCTTTTATTTCAAAATAGAAAAAAAGGACATCACCATAATGTCCAAAATGCAGTCTCTGGGAACTCATCCTGAACCACTGGTTCAGAATCTGTATTTTTTTAACCAGATCCCCAGATGACTGGCTAAACTCACCAATATAAATGAAAAATTATCCAATTGAAAATTGAAGTTTAACTGTGCTAAGCAACTGAAGCTTCACAATATCACCGTCTTGTTTTTTTATTGTCTCTCAAGCATTGTCTATCAAAGTCCCTTACAGACAGAACCCATAAAAAAGACATTAACTCACTGAACAGCATCCACTTTGTGAAAGAGTAAATGTAGAGGGAAAAGGCCAACTCACTCACTTTAATATCTCTGGAAACTTTGTTCTCATTAACTAATCAATCAAATTTATTTTTATTTACAAAGGAAATCAATTTGCTTGTGATTTTAGGTCAACCTTTTGAAAAATTTTAGAGTGCCAAAACCTAAAGCTATAGGCAGCTTTGGTGATTTATTGGTATTAAGTTGTGCTACAAACTCATCTGTTCCATGGGGGGAAAAGATGAACAATCTCCTGTGCAATTTCCTGCCTCTGAGGCTATCTATAGGTGGTGCCAACTCACCAGGACACAACAACCATACCTGTTTCATGTCTATGCTATCCAAAGTCCTTAGTCTTACTTGACCATGCCCTTTCTCCCATTTCAGCAAATCTTACTGGCTCTGCCTCCAAAATGCATGCAGTTTCCAACCATCCCTTACTATAGTAAAATCAATACATAATACATCCATTACTGCAGTAAAATCTACGAAAGACAGAACTTGTATAATATGCGAATCTATGTGAGAAGGAAACTCAAAATATTTACCACTAAAGACAGCAACAGAAAGTAGTAAAGACTACACCTTGGCGAGCTCTGGTGGCCTAGTGGCAAGAAACTACACTGCAATCCCAGAGATGCACAGTTCGAATCCACCAGATGCTCTGCTGGAGAAGGAGGGATAATCTCCTCTACCAGTCAGATCTGATTTGACGGTACAGACACACACACACACACACACACACACAAAAATAATAAAAAAAAAAAAAGACTACACCTTATCAAAGGCAGAAGTTTACTAGATCTGGTAAAACAAAGCCATCTCGCCACATTCTGGAGCTCGGAGGTTCCTCAGTCAAAGCCACTGTACCATCTACTATTTGGATTACTAACCAGTCTAACTGGTCTCCCTGCTTTCATGTTTGTACCTTCTACCATAAATCACTTCTCAATACAACAGTGATCATGTATGTCAGACTGTGTCATCACTCTGCTCAAGACTCTCCAGTGTCTTCTCATTTCAAATATCAAAGTTCTTTCAAAGACTCATAAGAGTTTTGCACACTCTGACAGTTTCCTTCAACCATCCCCAAAAGCCTTTGTTTTACTACTCTTCTTCTGACGTACTCCACTCCAGCCTAATGACATCTTTGCTGGTACATGATGGACACATGTCAGACTCAAGGTACTGTTCACTTTGTCTGAAATGCTATCTTTACCTGACCTCTACTTTGTAAATCTCTCTACGGAAATGGCAATTCCTGGCTACTTCATCTAAAATTATAATCTCTTTCCCCATTCTGCTTTTCCTTTTGCATTTATCACTATGTAACACATGATTATTATTTAGTCACTGCATGCTTGGGAGGGAGGGTAGAAGGACAGTGCAAGAAGAGACAGACTGATTCAGTGACTGGGGTAATGGAGGGGGATGCATCAGACGATATAGTTGGCTTAGGATAGAGCAGGTTTCAGAGGTGTTGAAAATAGAGTCATTATGAGTTACAAGTGACTCGACAGCACATGACAGTATACCCACAGTAGGGAGTTATGGTAACTTAGTGGTAAGGAATCACACTGCCAATGCAAAGTACATGATCTGAATCCATCAGCTGCTCCATGGAAGAAAGATGTGCAATCGATGCCTGTGAGATTTACTGCCTCTAAAAACCTACTAGAGGGTCAGCAAGTTCCAACTTGATAGTACATAAGGAAAAAACTCCATGGTGCATAGCTGTTAGTGGCTGTACAGGGAAGAACAGAATTGATTCACTAAGGCTATCAAGTTTCCAAGGCAACATTCTTTATGAGAGCAGATTGCCATAATTTTCTGCTAGGAGTACCTGACTGGGATTGAACTGCCAACATTTTGGTTGGCAGCTGAATGCTTTAAGCCACTGTACCATCAGGATACTTGGCTCAATAGCTGGTGAAGAAATTATTTTCTTTTATTAAAAATCCAAGTTCACCTAGGAGAGAAAAAGCAATTGTTTAGTCACAAAATAAAAGCAACACTCATGGAAAAAGTACCTTTTAGTTTCATGTTTTATCTCATGTTGTTCTCTTTTCTTTTCCATCATTTTCCCCCATCTGTTCTTTGGTAAATCTCTCCGAGGCAATGGTATTGCATGCTGGACATAAAGATCAGTAAGATTGTCTTTATTTATTTTTATGTCATTTTCAACAGTTATGTTCTTCTGTGGAAAAAGAAACAAAAGTAATTTCAAAAGAGTATCTTTCATTTTAGTAATGACTTACATGTAACAGAAAAACCCCACACTGCATTATCACTGAGCTGATAGTGACCATACAGGGCAGAGTAGAATCCACTTTCTAAAGCTACAGAATTTCTATATTTATTACTATTAAAAGGAATATCGCTATTAAAATGAATTCTATAAACCACTTTCACAATCACACATCTATCCGACAGTCTCACAATGTTGCTAGCTGCCATAGAGTCTAATCAATTCTGACTCATGGGGACCCTTGTGAGTGCGTTCAAACCACCAAGCAACTCTTATCAGGTACTCTTAAGTAGTCACTCTCACACACTCATTGCTGTCAAGTGGGAACTGACTCATAGCTGACCTTTCACTGAGTTTTCAGTGGCAAAAAATCACATGCGAAGAGACTGTCCATCTTTCTCTCAAGAAGCAGTTGGTGGATTCTAATCACCTGTCTTTGGGTTGGCATCACAACTCCTTAAGACAGTATGCTACCAGAGTGGCACTATAAAAAGGTTAATCTCTGTGAATATTAGGTTCAGTATCATTTTGTCCTCGGTGTGGCAAGGTCTGCTGGCACAAATGATCAGCCAGCACACTAAAACTGAAGAGCATTTTAAGTAGCATTATCTGCATCTACAAAGATCACAGAATACAGCAGACTGCCAGCAGAAAACAAAAGAGAATTATTACATTCTTTCATAGAACTACCGAAGTGTTACCAGAACAATCAAATTAGTGGGATGGAAGTCTCAACCTGTGTTTTTCTCTCAGTTTCTCTAAAATAATAATAATTAAGAAAATAAACGACCCACTGCCATCAAGTCAGTTCTGACTCACAGCCAACTGTCCAGCTGGTTTCTACAACTTTCAGTCTTTACGGAAGAGACTGCTCATCTCTCTCCTTCAGAGTGACTGGTGAATTCAAACCACTGATCTGTACAGTTAACAGCCCAACATTATGCCATCAGGGGTCCTTTCCTTCTCCAGTGGAGTGGTTAATAATGAGAGTGACTGCAAAGATTCTAAATAGACCTTCAGGTGGAAACCCTGGTGCTTCCTTACTGATGACAGTAATGTCACATCAATAGAATAACTTGCTCCCCACTGCAGGCCCTTTCAGGTACTTTCTAGTCCTTATGTAAGTATCCCTATATAAATTCTCATTTTCATCTCCCAATTTGTTCTTTTTTTTTTTTCCCTTTTCTTGTTGTGTACCATTGAATCAGATCTGACTGGCACAGGAGGAGATTGCCACTTTCTTCAGCGGAGTATCTGGTAGATTTGAACTGAGCACATTTGGGATTGTAGTGCAGCTGCAATCTTGCCATGAGGCCACCAGAACTCCCTACCCAATTTGTTCTTAACATTATGAAAAACATGCTACTTAAGGCATAGGAGTGGTGACAGATAAAATTGGACTTTGTGTACAACAGAACCCTCCCCCAAAATTTTCCAATTACGGTCCTCTGATAATATTCCTACCTTTTCCCTAATTAAAACATCTTTTTTTTTTAAATTTATGATCTATTTCCCCCCTGAGACTCAACTCACTGCTGGCAAGTTGGAACTGACTCTGAACTCTAGTTGGTTTTCTGAGACTGAAAGTGTCCATCTTTCTCCAGTGGAGCAGCACTGCTGGTGGGTTCCAAGCACTGGAGAGGAGCCACTTCTGGGTCAGTAGCACAACTCTATTGACTACGCGGTCCGTGTAAACCCTGATAAGTCTCTTGGACAAAATTCCCTTGTGAGCAAACACAGTGATTCTCAAAGTGTGGTCCAGATACCAAGAACTCGTTAAAAATGAAAATTCTTAAGCTACACCCAGACCTACAGAATCAGAAATTCTGGAAAGGAAAGCCAACAATCTGTAACAATCACTTTGATGATTTTGCCCTGGATGAGGGGACGGTTAGGGAGAGTACTGAAGGACAAACACCATGGACTACTACTAAATGCTGGTGCTGCTGTAATGTGCCCTCAAGTCGGAACTGACTTATAGCTGACCCTCTAGTGCGATTTCAGGGGCTGATAATCGCACAGATTGTTGTATTATTCCTCTTCCTGAATAGCTGATGGATTTGAACTGCTTGCCTTTGGGTTGGCAGCACAGCTCCCTACCAATGAGAACATAAAATCAAGCTTTAAAAAAAAAAAATCCCAAGCCCAGGGAAGCTTTAATACATTATCAACCACTTTAAACACACTAGTTTTTACTTTTCTTTCCCTAATATTATCAGAGGCAACCCATAAATAATAAACACAACACTGAGAATCATGAGTTCTGACTTCTCTCCTCCAGGCTGTACCACTTACAGATGGAGCGACCTTAACGAAGTCACTTCAACTCTATGGGCCTGTTTCCTCATCTGTAAATAAAGTGAAGGTTCCAGGAATATGCGATTTCTCAAATGCTCTCGAGAATGAATGGTCAATGAGTTCTATTCTCAATTTCTCTTTATCCATCGTTTCCTCCAATCCCTTTTTCCTGTAGTCCTTCCTACAATTCAAGACTCGGGGGTGAGGGAAGGGAGTCCACTTCCAGAAAATTACGGTTATCTAACGGACTTCTCTTTTCGGGATGGTGTGCAAGGCATACATATGCCAGGGAAGCTATTAGATCTGCCTGGGATGAGTGGCAAAATCGGTGCCGGAGCAGCGACAGGACAGCCGGCGCCCACAGAGGATTACTCCGGGGAAACTAACTAAGGTGCAAGTGCCTCTCCCGACAAGACTATCCTCTCGCCTTCCGCCCCGAAAAGGCCAACCTGCTCCAAAGTAAGAAGAAGAAACTCCTGGGACAGCAGCTCCGGGTGCAACAGCAGCTCCGAGTCTGTGCAGCTTCGACCGCCAACATCCCCCGCCATCGTTGTCTCCAGGAGACCCCGGCCGGTCACCCACAAGGCTCTGCGAAGGAAACGCCGGAAATGACGTTATGTGGGAGGTGGCTCGAGCGTGTCGTCATCACAAGTGCGCCGAGCACCCAGCTCCACCTCCCTGGGAGCGGTGGCGCCTTGGGGCAAGGGCTAGAGGGCAAGTGCTCTTGAGGAAGGAAAAAATCACGGCTTAAGAGGGCTTACAGGAACGAGTTCACGTATGCTGCCTCAATTGGTCACGCCTCCCGTGACGCCCAGTGGCAGTAACTACATGGGTTCGCCAACAGCGAGACCGCAGAGGGCAGATTGCATCTCGTTATCCCCTGAGGCCACGGAGTGCCTTCAGCATCTTGGCTCCTCTCCTCCATCGACTTCCAAACATGTAAATCTTTAAGGGAGGAACAACCTGATCATTGTCCCACTGAGCAGCTGGTGAATTCACAATAAACTTTTTAGTTAGCAGTTTTTACTAAGCCACCTAGCCTCTTAGTAAGCCTCACTTCATCAGACGCCTTCTTTTTTTCTGTTAACCCTCCACTTTAACATGGAAGGTCTTCAAGGAAGACAGGATTGTCAATTATTTTATTTACTTGGAACTACAATTAACACACGTGGAAGCAGTAGCTAACTCAAGTGGCTTATGTTGTTAGGTTCCTTACGAGTTAACTATGACTCATAGTGACACTGAACGGTTCTGAACATTGCCCCTCATACTGCGCCACCCTCATCTCACCATCTGATTTGTTCAAGCCTGTTAAAGTCACTGAGTCAATACATCTTGTTGAGCGTCGTCTTCTCTATCCCTCCTCCACCTTTCCTAGCAAGTCTTTATTCAAAAACATCCCTCCTGACAACTTACCCAAAGTATGTGATACAGAGTTTCATTATTCTTGCCAAAAGAAATTAAGCACATCTGTTGCCAAGGAGGTCTTCAAAGTGCTAACCAGCAGAGTTGTCAGCTTAAAGATTAAGGTTGGCAGACACAAGTGAGGGTGTTTTCAATTGCTTCATAGGCATGTGAAAGTTGAACAATTAATAAGGGAGACTGAAGAAGAATAATTCATGCTTTGGAATTGTAGTCCTCTGGAAAAGTGGAGACGTAGCCTAAAAGAAGACCCTCAACATGAGAGATTGACACAGTGACTGTAACAAGGGGCTCAAGTATACCAGGGATGGTGTGGATGGCCCAGGATAGGGCAAGGTTCAGATATTTTGTTCATAGAGTCTTTACAAGTTGTAGTCAATCTGATGACACCTAACAACAAGAACAAACAAATCTGTCTTCGAAGAATTGCAACCAGGGTGCATCTTAGAAGCAGGGATAGATGATGTTATTTTTTTTTTTTTCCCTCTCCCATATTTTGGACATGTTATCAGGATCGTGCTAATGCAAAATTTATACTTGGACCAAGAGGCAGTCGTCAGAACAGAGCAAGG